TTCATCGGACAATCTTTTTAAGTCACCCAGGCTATAATGTTCATGCTCCAAGTGACTACAGCTGACAGCGACTGCAGATCTAAATTCATTGACACTTGGGTTTCAGAATTCTGCTCGTAACTGTCTAGCACGGCCCGATCCTCACCTGTTCGGAAGATGCCTTTATCTGTTAGCTCTCTGAGAGCAATGATCCTACAGAAAGTCGAAGGGAGACAGTTTCCATTTACCAGCTGAATAAATACAACATGACAAGGCGAATAGCACTGGCTTGTATGTACACGCCTCACACTAAAGATGAACTATTACTGCTTCTTGTGTCAGAGCAAAATTATTTCCAAAAAACCTAAGCCACAGCAATAAACCCTACATGGAGGAATCTTCAGAGATACTGCAACAGCTGGATAAAATTGCCGCCCCGAGCTTTCCAAGTTCCCATTTTCTGATGTTCGTATATTGCTTTAGGTAGAAAGAAACGAAAGGGATATATTGTGTATTACCCAAAATTCAATTCAACTGCAGACCTCACTGAGTCCACGTATTTTATAGCCAGTAAAGTGCTAATCGGAGGTGTTGAATATGAACATCTCTTAATTAAGACAAAACACCTGTCATCGGTCTGCGGAAAGGCTTCCGGCATCAGGGACAGTGCCCTTTAGCTGGGGTCAGACACCCACAGCTGAGTCTCCCATCCGTCTCTTCGCTGTGTGACCCCGACACACCATGAGCCTCTCTGAGCCGCCGGATCCTGCTTTGTGAAAGCGTGAGGATGGTGCCTGACTATTTCACAAGGGGGTCACGAGGGACATGTCAGAGGGTGCGACGGGAAGGCTGTTACAGATGCGTTACTGCCAATACCCAGACACGGAGAAGCACGAGTCCAGCCCAAGCCCAGCCCCTGGCACGTCCATAAAGCTGGGAGGCTCACGTTAGAAGTAGACTCTGTGCTTTCTTTTTACAACCATTTTCTTTTGCTGACGGACACAACCACCATTGGTGTGGTTTTTTCCCCCACCGTCATTTTTCTAGCCTTTATGTTTTTTGCTGTCATTAATCCTCACCCAAGGATGTTTTTCCATTGATTTTTACTAGTAGAGAGAGTGGAAGGGAGGGGGAGAGATAGAGAAACATCCATGTGAGAGTAACACATCAATTGGTTGCCTCCTGCACATACTCCGACCCGAGCCGAGGATCGAGCTTGCAACCGAGGTACGTGCCCTCGGCCGGAATCGAACACAGGACCCTTCAGTCCACAGGCCGACCCTCTATCCACTGAGCCAAACTGGCTAGGGCTTAGCCTTTTACCTTTTGTAGCCTGTGGCCTTTTCACTCGTGTATTCTGTAACTCCACAGGCCAGCATTTACTGAGCATTCAGCGAACACGGAGGGCAGAGGCACCCTGGCGCCTGGTCCGAGGAGCCCGCGTTCACACGGGATGTCATACAAAGAGCAAGGCATTCCCAGGCGATGAGGCATAAGAATAAAATGATGGTGGAAAACTGGCCCTGACACTCCTCCCCAAGGGGCAGAGCTAGAGAGAAAGAGGGGCCTCTCCCAGAAGAGGCGTTCAAGCTGTGTCTGGGAGGACGAGGAGAATTTATTTTCCAGGCAGAAGAGGGACATTCGAGGTAAACGGGAGGATCACAGGACATGCTAAGAGCTGCAATTAATGCCAAAAACCATGACCAGGAGCGCCAATAACTCTCAGGCATTCGTGATGTGAGAAGGAAGTGGCTGGTGCACTATATTTTAACTGATTTTTAAAGAACATGTTTTTCTTGATTTCAGAGAGGAAGGGAAAGGGAGAGAGAGAGAAAGAAACACCAATGATGAGAGAGAATCATGGATTGGCTGCCTCCTGCACGCCCCACACTAGGGATTGAGCCCCCAACCCAAACCATGACCTCCTAGTTCATAGGTTGACGTGCAACCACTGAGCCACACCGGCCAGGCTGTGCACTATATTTTAAAGAAAAGGACACAGTTTTGTTTTTTTTTAAATGCTATTTAGAGCATTTCACATACCAAATGTTCAACTCCTGATTTTTTTTAATTTACATAATCTTTTGGCAAATGAATGCCTCTAATTAGAGCCTTGGTTCCAGGATGACCTCCGGCAATGCTCTGCCCCAGGCCACGCACTCAGCAGCGTTTAGAATGTGTTTTCCAGCTCAGTACAGAAGAGACTCGCTCATGGTCCATGATTAACAGGCAGAAATGGCAATAACTGAACAACATTACACTGGAGGAGTCCACTCTTTCTGTTTATAAGGTGTTTTGTCTTTTAAAAAACCAGAACTAAAATGCTAGCTACCCGAAACCATGATCAGTGTAACGGGATCTTTCTCAGGCGCCCGGGAAAGGGTGTTATCTATCACACTAAGGAGGTCTGATCTGCTGGGAGTGAAAGATCAGAGATGGCCCCGCATCACACGGGATTCTGATGCCACAACGTTTCACCTCGCTGCAGGTGACATCCATCACGGCAACAGAGAGCTACACCGCCGAGTCTCCCGTCAGTCTCCCCGACACGCCCTGGGATCTGAAATACAGCACCCACTTCCATGGGCTTTGGTTGCAAACATGAACAAGGTAGCTTCAACAAGTGGCTGCCAGCCAGCCGGTGTGGCTCAGTGGCTGCGCAACAGCCTAGGAAACAGGAGGTCACAGTTCGACTCCCGGTTAAGGGCACGTGCCCAGGTTACGGTCTCGATCCCCAGTAGGGGGCGTGCAGGAGACAGCTGATCTATGATTCTCTCTCATCATGGATGTCTCTCTCTCCCCCTCCCCCTTCCTCTCTGAAATCAATAAAATACATTAAAGACAAACAAACAAGCGGCTGGCTGCCACTATCACACGTGCGGCTACAGGCCGCTGGGCTGCTGAGCACCTTGCTAGGACCTGTACCTGGAACCTCCTCAAAGGAAACGTCGTCCATAAAGGAGACGTCAGGGGGTGGCAGCAGCGGCATCTCCACCCTGCAGGCAAGGACCAAGCCCTCCCTGCGTCCCTCTGCCTGGAGACCGGGGCGCTGTCCCTGAGCGGGAGGCCTCTCCGAGACCAGTGACAGGTGTTTTGTCTTAATTAGAGGTTCCCCCCAACACCTCCCGTTAGCACTGGGCTGGGAGAGAGCGAGTGGCTCCGAGTCGCCTGCAGAGGAACGGGACGTGGCTGATCCACACAGTCCCGTGCGCTCCTCCGCGTCCAGTGATGTGCACCCCGAGGAGGCGGGATGAGAACCGCAGGCAGCACCGTGTCCCGCTGTCTCTGTCTTCCTGCCGAGGCCGCTGGTTGGGGTCATGGCGTGGCGCAGGGTTTTGGAGATCGTCTTGCTCTGACACAGGGAACTGCAGCAGCTCATCGGAGGTGTGAAGCGAGTGCGTACCTGACACCCACGTCCCCCTCGCCTTCCTCACAGCTCTCCCACGCTCACCCTCCCCTCAGGGGTCACGTCTCGCTCCTGCGGCCACGTGGAGCTGCGAGGAGCCGCACCGGCTCTCGCTCAGCGGCGATCTGGCCCACGTTCCCCCGCCTCGTGGTCTGGTCACCCCGGGAGTTCATTTCCTGCTGTCCCACTATGCTGGCGGCTTTGGGGTGTAGAGAACGAGAGATCGGGGACCGTGAGTTCCTGCCACGTCCAGGGTGCCCTCCCCGGCATCTGACACGGGAGCCCTTGGAAGGAAAGCACCCTCGGGTGTCACAGCGTCGTTCACGACAGAAACTCGGGCCCACAAGCCACGTCTTTGTCACGCCGCCTCCTTCCTTAACACGTCCCCCAACGAAACGACAGAGGGACCAAGAGCTTTACTGTAATCCCACACTGCCCCTTTGTAAGGGCTAACTGCATCCTTGGCATCTGGCAGCTGGAAACGGTTACATTATTTACATTAAAAACAACAGCTGTCTGCCCTGTGAATCATAAAGCCATTTGCCTGAAAATCTTTCTTCCTTCTTTCTTTCTCCCTTCCTTTCTTTCTTTCCCTGTGTTGAGATTGCCATACCCTACACAACAGAGAGAACGCAGCAAAACCTTCCCAAACTTGCCAAATTATTGGCTGGGGACGCTCATTTTTATGTAAACTATATGCATATTCATATAACACAGTTTTTAAAAATGTATCAGATATAATTAGTGTGTTTATGAATCTATTTGCTCTGCTATTAAGTAACAAATTTGTAGTAACCATGGCAACTGCAGCATCGCGGGCACAAGTTCTATTTTTGTACTATGAAGACTTTTCTTAAAGCAACCCTCCTGCTCAGACTCTTACATTTTTAAAATATTAAAGAGTTATGAAAACATGACTTCAATGTTCATGATATAAGGACACATTTTATATTTCGAGTTTATTTTACATTGAAAGCTGTTTCTTTTTTGTTATGTGGTATGTTGTGTATGTGTATGTCTGTATGTGCATGTTTGCCAAAAATAATATTTAAGTATAGAGGAGAAAAAACATGGAATAGGAGGGGCATGTTAACACATGTGGTTATAAGATGTTTAGCTTTTTGAGTTCTATTTCAATTGAAATGGCAGAAAATGTATTAAAGTTCCAATTTTGTTTAAAAAGAAAGTCATATATAGATTTCCCATTTTATTCTAATTTCTTCAATCTTTTTAAAAAATTTTTATTTTTATTGATTTCAGAGAGGAAGGGAGAGGGAGAGAAAGAGATGGAAACATCAATGATGAGAGAGAATCATTGTTCAGCTGCCTCCTGCACGCCCCCTACTAGGGATTGAGCCCAAAACCCAGGCACGTGCCATTGACTGGAATAGAATCCAGGACCCTTCAGTCCGCAGGCCGATGCTCTATCCACTGAGCCAGACCAGCTAGGGCTCTTCTTCAATCTTAATTATTGTGTTTTAGCCAAAATCTAAGTAGTAACATTTTTTTCCATAGTCAATTTGAGGAGGTGTTTTGATTAATGTTTTTCTCAAAAAAAAAATAGCTGAACTATGACTTGTTTTCCTCCCCTGAATAACTGACATCACTGCTAGACATGGGAGCCTGGGCCTTCGATGTGAGCTTCCAGAACCTTCCTTGCTTCCTGGTGAAACCAGTGACAACAGCAGCGCGATGGGCGGCTGAGGAGGAAGGTCTGGAGACGCCGTGTGGAGAGCCCAGAAGGATGCCTCTCGGTTCCGTGTGTTTTGTGACGGACATCAAACCTAACCCCAAAGAGGACGTTTCACGTGACACCGACCCTGCGGATGTCCTCCTCTGTGTCTCCTCCAAAAGCGGCGGAGGTGAGATGGGTGTGTGGGGCACTGGGGTGACGAGTCGGGTGAAGGAATCACATCGAGGCAACTCTTTTCTTTCTTTCTCTCTTTTTTTAAAATCTGGCTGCCCAGCTGGCGTGGCTCAGTGGTTGAGCATCCACCTATGAACCAGGAGGTCACGGTTAGATTCCAGGTCAGGGCGCACGCCCAGGTTGTGGACTCGAGCACCAGCAGGGGGCGTGCAGGAGGCAGCTGATCTATGATTCTCTCTCATCATTGATGTTTCTATCACTCTCTTCCTCTCCCTTCCTCTCTCTCTAAAAAAATCAATAAAATTTTTTTAAAACCTGGCTTGGGTTTGAGCTCCAAGCCAACCTCTCCCTGAGCTATGTCTGGGGAGAATAATATCTGTACCCTTGGATTTTCACGTGTATAAATATAAAGCAAAGCAGCCGTCACACTCTGTGACATAATATTTGTCAATAAAAAAAATTGATCTTCATTTTAAAACTGTAGAGACGTGGGGACGTAAAGGGATCATTAAAGAGAAACGAAGAGGGTCAATAAGTTTGGCCTTTTTAGCTATTTGCTCCGAAAGGAGATGAAGATGGAAGGGCATTTCTCTGGACAGACGTGGAGCGAGGACTGGGATAGCTTTGAGAAGAGCAGCAACGATCCGTGTGGAAAAGGCAACCCTGTAGCCCAGATGGGAAGGCCTGGCTCAGCCTGACACACGGGCATGGGCTCAGCGTCCAACCAGAAGGAAGACAGTGAGAGCAAACCCCTACGATAAGATGGCCAGTGACGGGGCCCAGGCTGGCCAGGGGGAGGGGCCAGTGACAGGGGCCAGGCTGGCCAGGGGGAGGGGCCAGTGACAGGGGCCCAGGCTGGCCAGGGGGAGGAGCCAGTGACAGGGGCCCAGGCTGGCCAGAGAGGGGAGAACCCAGGAGAGACAGTAATCTGTAATCCACCTGTGTGTCCTCATCCACCTCCATGCCCAACACCACCCTGAGGTTCAATTAAAAAGATTAATTATCGGCGTATCACTCTGTAAATTATATAATGTCTAACCACTCTGCTGTACTTCCTAATACACAATCCTAGTGAATGTCAAACTGTAATTGAAAAATAAAATTTAAAAATGTGCCACAGCATGGAGGGGCCTGGAGAGCATTGTGCTAAACGAGAGAAACCAGTCAGAGAAAGACAAGTATCACATGATCTTATTCCGACATGGAATCTAATGAACAACATAAACTGATGAACAAAAATAGACCCAGAGACACAGAAGCATCGAACAGACTGTCAAACCTCAGAGGGAAGGCGGGGGAGGGAGGAGCACGGAAAGGGCTCAAAACCAATGAACTCATATGCGCATACGCATCACCCATGGACACGGACAATAGGGTGGTGAAGGCCTGGGGTGGGGTAGGGTGGGAGAGGTCAACGCGGGAAGGGGACCCAGGTAACACTTTCAACAATAAAGATGTAAAACAGAAAGGTGCCCCCTTCCTGGCACGCCTGTTCCCCCTCACCTGCCTGTTTTCTTCCTGGGACTTATCACAGTAGGACACACGATCCAAACTCCTTATTTATCACACGCGTGTCTGTCCCCACCCACTAGCACGTGAACTCTGGAGACACAGGCCTCTCTTCACGGCTCCGTCCTCAGCGCCTGCCGGACACTCAGAAAACACTTGGTGCCGAGGAAAGCTTTGGTACGACGCCCGGCCACTGTTAGCTCACAACAAAGGTCATCTGTCCCTTCTATCTGTTTTATTTTATTCATTGTCTCTCAGGTTGCCTCAAATCAGGGTCTTTCTGAAGCTACTGATACTAGGAATAATGATGACCTGCCTTGTCCTCTTTAGGAAAAAGATCCTGATTTGGGTTAGACCAATCACTAAAAAAAGAAAATAAAATAAAAAAGACGTACTCATAAATGCAACCCTAATCCTCCCGAAGACTAGCATCTCTGGCGGCCTGGCCACAAATTCATCCATCGATTGGGTCAACTGATGTAGCTAAGTCAAACAATGATGCCCAGTTATCCGAACCTGAGAACTCGCCACGAGGAGTCTAATATTTACCTGTGTTTGTGGGTTCCGTGCACACGTTTGTCCCTTTCAGACGCGCTCTTTATTCATAAAAATAAATAACCAGAGAGTCTGTCCCTTCCGCTGTGCAACCGCCCCGGCGGCGCGGCTTCCTCTGGGGAGGGACACATTGCAGCGACGCGTCATCACGCAGACGCTGAGACAGGAGACGGGCTGCGAGAACAAGGGACGGAGCACCCTTGCTGTGTGGCTCAGTGAACAGAGCGTCGGCCTGCGGACCAAAGGGTCCCGGGTTTGAACCCGGTCAAGGGCACGTACTTTGGTTGCCAGCTCCTCCCCGGCCTGGGCCCCGGTCAGGGCTCAGGCAGGAGGCAACCAATTGATGTGCTTCCCTCACATCGATGTTTCTCTCTGTCTCTCCCTCTCTCTTCCGCTCTCCCTAGACATCAGTGGAGAAATACCCTCAGGTGAGGATTAACAACAAACAGACCAAGGAAGGGATACTGCTTCATGGGAGATGCGGGCCGTGGCAGGGGCACGCCCAGCAGGTGGCAATCTAGACCAGCGTGGAGGATGGGGAAGGCGCGGGCAGACACCAGGGGCTGGGCTGCAGTGGGCTCCTTACAGGGGACGCAGACAGAAATTTCCACCCCAGTTTTCTATATCAAGGAGAAGGGGGAGCTGCAGGTGCTCCCAGAACCTGCCCTACTCCAGGTGTCTCCACAGGGCTGTGCCTTGGCTAGAAACCTATATCCGGATGGCTGTTTAGCTGGGCCGAACCGTCACCTGCTCCCATGAAAATATTCCAAACGCATCCTGTCTCCACCTGATGCGCATGCATCCCTTCTGGAGAAAATATGCTGTTAATGCTGAATTAGAAAACAGTAACAGTAAACAATGGGCAGGCTCACAATCATGGGGTGAAGGCGTAACCCAAGTGCAAGGAGCCTTGTGGACGGAGAGAGAGGCTTGAACTCCTCCTGCCGTGGTGAAGTCTGTTCTCCAAAATGCCCAGGCTGGTGCGCAGCCAGGCCTCGCAACCCCCACCCCCAGGCTCCCCGGCCCTTAGATGCGGCTTCAGGACATTTCCTCCCTGAAAGAGCAGAAGTCCTTACACGGCTTGCTGGCCTGGTCCATGGAGCTCCCTGAACTTCCCTGCACCGAATTGTTCTTTCAAATTCTCTGTAGACTTATTTTTGTAAAATAAAAAGAGAAAAGTCATCACTAGTAAAATAAAAAACACCAAAAAATGATAATGAACAATTTTTAAGTAAATAATTTCCTACATAATGTCATTGTTTTAATGGCTGTAAATATTCTTTGTAAAAACTGTTACTTAAAAAAACAAAAACAATAACGCTCAAAGAATCTTTTTTCAATTTGCAAAACTTCAAGTTTTAAATATAGATTAAACTCTTTTTTTTGCAAACCAAATGAAACCAAAAAGTAAAGGCTAGAGACTGACCTAACAAAATTCCAAGGGAGGTGGTCTTAAAAAAAAGGATGTCAACATGGAGGAACTACAATCATCTTAAAAGATGAAATTTTGTTTACTGTGCAAATCTCATAGTTTGTTTAAAACTTTTTAAGTAAAAAAAACAAACAAAAAATGAAAAAAGCAAAGATGCTACTTTGCACTCAGAAACAAAACAAAATACGGTAGCACGATGGCTATGTCTCAAAAGACATCACCTTGCGCTCTCTCGGCTTCCTCTGTTTGCTATGTAAGCAGTTCAGGGTGGCTGGTTTACTGACTGAGGGTCCCAACATTTACTTAAGATCTACCATGGAAAGCAATGATTAAAAAATATATGATCCCTTATTTACACGGCTTTCTTTTTTTTTTTTTAGGAGACAAGGATGTACCTACTGCCTATTACGTAGGTAACATCGGCACATACCTAACATCTATGATACAGTAACACAGGCATGTACGTAATAGCCATAAAATAGGTCCTGTATGGTGTAGGCTACCCCAGTACCAGAGAAAGGGCAGAGCCACGGAATAGAGAGGAACGCGAGGTTGCTTCAAGCCCTCACACAGACAGTAGTTTCCCAGATGAGGTGAGGGCAGGGCAGCCTGAAGTGAGAGAAGAGCTCCCCAGAGGACGATGGGAAAAGGTCTTAAGTCAGAAGAATCAAAAAGAAAAATGAGACAGGTCTTTTGAGAATTCTTGAGTGAATGCAGGCCACCATGGATGGCTGCAAAGATCCATCAGCTCACGGGAAAGTGCTCATTGCGCTGCTAACGGGGTGAGCCTTGATGGGCAGGCTCGGGAATCTGAAATCTGTCCTTAGAGAACAAGGATTGCTGAAAGCTCTGCAGCAGCATGCAGTGGGCATGGGATGGCCAGGCAGATGGTCACATGACAGATGGTCACATGGCAGATAAGGACCTGGCCTCCCTTCACACTCTACACGTGCTATGCCTAATTCATGCATCTCTCACTCCTGTGGCAACATGGTCACTTTTAATGAATTTGCATTTCTGATCCAAAGTCATAACTTTCTCTTACTTTGTCCCCAATGGACACCCCAAGGTTCTCCAGGCAGTCACAAGTCTGATGCGCTACACAATAATAGAAACATCAGCGCAAAAGCTTAAATCACACTAAATATACAGATGAATGCTGACTCAAGGAATCCAATGGTTTCTCCACAGCCAGATGTTGGTGCAGCATAGATTAATCAGAGAGAGAGAGATGAATGGCTATTATTCATTTTCTTTCCTTCTGAACGTCTGGATAGAACATCAGCTTGGTCCCAGGGTCTCCCAGGCTCCTAGAGCATTCTGGGTAAGCCTGGCAACGACATTCCCTGTCTCAGACCTCACGGTCCCTTCTCCTCACAGGGATGGAGAGGGTGTGCTACATCAATAACTGCGACTTTATTGGAAGTAAATGTGATTTTCTGCGTCTTCCGGAAAGGATTGTGCATTTAGTTGCTGTGTTTACATGATTTCCATTTGAA